TCTGATTAGGTATAAATTCACCTCTTCTCCCCCAGCTATAGATTAATTAGTAAGACTTGTATCACTAAACTATTATTTTCTCTCACCCACCAAGAAAAATTCTTACAATCTAAAATATATTTTCCGGCTTTAAATAACCTGGAAAGGGTAGATAAGCCGTAAAAAAATGTATTACCATTCGCAGCACCGTTGTTGTCGTCTTCATCATCATCATCATCATCATCATCATCATCATCATCATCATCATCATCAATACTAATATGTCTTATGATTTAAAAATGATTTTGAATGAATTGCCTAACCTTAAAGATAAGCTGTCTTTTATTGTCTCATTTTGTACAGATTGCTATTGCAATTTAAAAGCAAAAAAAAAAGTCATTCTTCTTATTTTCTGTATTTCGAAAAAAAGCTGCATGAGTGAAACTTACATCGCACCAATTCAGAGTCCATCTTGCAGATTTACAAAACTACCATTCGTCTATGGATTAATTACCGTTGCCTTATCTGATCTGGTGATCCTGCTATGCAACTCGATATTCTTGACAAAATCCAAACAAGGATCTGAAATGTAATCAATCCTGACTTGGCATGTCGGCTTCAGTCACCTGACTTCTCTCTGTCTTTTTTACAAATAATTTAATGGCGACAGGTGCTCCAATTACATCAATTTAAGCGTACTACTAGATTGGCATCTAGGGTTCCATCCGTTTAATATTGAAACAGCTAAATGCAACTGCCCCTTCTACTCCCACAGTTTCTTTTCTCGCATTTCCTACCTGTGGAACTCATTTCTGTTTACTTGATTCCCTGATAATTACAATCTTTAAAATTTAAATGCAACATCAATCGCCATCTTTTATCTTCTTGAACCCCGTACATGTTTTAAGCTTTCCTCCATCCTCCCTATACGCAGTCTATTCTCTCACTTTTAGTCTCTGTAACTTTCTAGTGGCATATCCGCCTTGCTTGGTGGGGGGGGTGATTTAAAAAAATGGATATGAAGGGAATGAGGCTGGTTCGCTACAATGTGCGTAGCACTGTGCGTCCTAGCTGTGAAGGTTAAAACTGGTAGAACTAAGGAAACTAGCTCATCGGAGCACTTTTCCATGGAAATACCGAGAGAGCAGTGAGAGGCCTGCTGTGTCCTGTCTGTAAGAAAGCGTTTCTAGTAAAATAACAGGAAAATCATTTATCACCCACAATGACGCAGAGACGATTTTGGGCTCTATCGAGACGAGAAAGTGGAAACTCGGCAGCTCTTACCCAAATATGACAGAAGTACTCTATTTTCGGTCAGCTCTCTTGTAAAGCTATTGGTTAACACTAGCAGCCAGGTATATACTGGAGTGAGGGCTTAAGTTTAAATCCCAATAGTCACTCAAGGCACAGTACCTCCCCGAGGGAAAATCCATTCATCATGATTGGTGATAGTTTAGAGTCCGATTGGTGACGATGGAATGTAACTAGTTTAGTTTTTGAGAATGTAACCAGCCAGTTTTTCCCACTTTGAGCCGTTAGAGCCAGATCAGAGGAGAAATCAGCCATCAATCTTTGATCATTACAAATTTGGAAGAGCAGAACATAAATCAGTGTAATATTCTTGACAGAATCTATCCTACATATTTATAAACCTATCGTTCCTCCATCTGGTTTAGTGCTACTGTTATAAATTTAAAGATTTAAGATAAGAATCTGCAATGTTATTGGTCTTGACTAGGCATCTCGGCTTTAGTTGATTTCCCACTGCCGTAACGTAGATTCCCTGTGTCATTTCTATAAATACTTTCATGGTAATTGTTCTGATGAACTTTCCTCTATGGTACCTAGACTGTCATCATGTTACAGTTGAAATGGATAGATGGAACCGTAAGTTCTATGCTAACAATTTCTTCTCTCGCTCTTCTCGCATGTGGAATTCTCCATCAACTTTGAGCTTCACAGTTAACTTTGATCTTCAAAAGTTTAAATGTTATGTCAATCGTTATCTTCTGTCTTCTTAATTCCTGTTCTTTTATTGTCCTCTCCCCTTAACAGTACATCTTTTTCATATTCTCTAACACTCAGTAAACCCTTGCGTCTTAGTGGCTTTATTGCCTTGCTTGGGTTGAAATGATTGATAGATAACAAACGTTGCTTCTGATAATCATTCAAATATAAACAAAGAAAAACAGTGGAATCTCGGCTCACGAATTTAAGTCGTTCCTGAAGGCCTTTCGTAACCTGAAATGTTCGTAAACCGAAACTATTTTTCCAATAGGAATCAATGTAGAGAAAAAATTCACAGTACAATAACATTAGAAAAGAAAAGCACGACACAACACACGAATGCTTACAACACGGCGGTTGACTCAGAAATTATTCCGTTCGGGTTAACTCGGTTCGACCATGTTTTTCGATAACCGAAATTTTGTTCGATAACCGAGTCAGTTTCATTTCGAATTTTCTGTCCAAAAAACCGATTTGTTCGACAGGTGAGACGTTCGATAATCGAGGTTTCTTTGTATTAATAAAAGTTAATTAAACTTTCAGTAGTCATAATGACTAGTTGCACTCTCAATAACGCACCTTGCTTTGAACATCTGTTGGGCGTCATGTTCGCTCCAGACCCCCAACTACTACTCATATATACGCTGCTGCAAAAATGACTCCAGCCATAATTTGTCTTTACAAGAGTTAACTTAAACCAGAAATAGAATATTGCTAGATTGGATCTGCCCAATTTCCACTTTCCCGTCTTGATAGAGTTCAAAAGCGTGTACCTGGCCATGTAGACCATTAATTATTTTCAACCAAACAGCACCTTTACAAGCCTCTCACTACACGATCGCTATTTTCATCGAAAATATTCAAACGAGCTGCATTCATTAGTTCCACCAGTTCAGACCTTCCCAGCTAAGACCCGCAGTGCTTCTCAAAATGGTGGTCCACAAACCGGTGTCGGTCTGCGAACCATCAGATACCGGTACGCGGCTAGTGTCCAAGCCATGCTAAGGAATTTTAAAGATTAAGGTTATATCATTTTTGTTTTTGCGTTGATAAACTGCTTATTTTTTGATGACTTTTTATATGATTTTTGCAAAATAAATGGAAAATAAAAAATAGTCAACTTTTATTATATTCATTATATATATTGTTTCCGGTATAAATTAATATTACCACAAAATATTACAGGTATGTGAAACATTGATAAAAAAAAATGCCGGACCGCCATATCAGATAGTTTGAGAAGCACTGCATTATGCCACGTAGATCGCCATTTTCTTTGTATTCTATTTTAAAGTAGGAAGTTTAACTTACGACTGACGACCGCTCCTTATAATTGGTGCATTGGTCTAAGCATGAATTAGTCTAGCAGAAGAACTAATATTTAGATTACCTATTAAAGGCGAACTCACTACAGTAGTAAAGATCTGTAAATCAAGTTTTGTTTGTTTTGTTTTACAGCATATCAAACTGAATGGGTTATTTAATGCCGACAATTTTTATTGCTGGTAATGTTTTTTTTATCTATCTATCTATCTATCTATCTATCTATCTATCTATCTATCTATTTCAGTATATATTGATTTGGTTTCGTTTGTTTTACAGCATATCAACCTCAATGAGTTATTTAATGCCACGAATTTTTATTGCTGGTAATTTTTTTTTTATCTATCTATCTATCTATCTATCTATCTATCTATCTATCTATCTATCTATCTATCTATTTCAGTATATATTGATTTGGTTTGTTTTGTTTTACAGCATATCAACCTCAATGAGTTATTTTATGCCACCAATTTTTATTGCTGGTAATTTTTTTTTTATCTATCTATCTATCTATCTATCTATCTATCTATCTATTTCAGTATATATTGATTTGGTTTCGTTTGTTTTACAGCATATCAACCTCAATGGGTTATTTAATGCCGACAATTTTTATTGCTGGTAATGCTTTTTTTTTATCTATCTATCTATCTATCTATCTATCTATCTATCTATCTATCTATCTCAGTATATATTGGTTTCGTCTGTTTTGATTTACAGAATATCAATCTCAATGATAGATAAATTTATTTAATACCGACAAAATTTTCATTGTTGGAAATATTTTTTCCAAAAAATCTATTTCTGGTAATATTTTTTCCTTCAGAAATCTATTTCTGATAAGAATTTTCCTTCGCTGGTAATTTTTGTTTTGTTTTTTTTTTTTTTTTTTTTTTTTTTTTTTAATGTATTGCTGGTTATATGTTTTTCAAAAATGTATTGATGGTAATAATTTTTTATACAACGCATTTATGGTATTAAAACCTATTTTAACACTTTCATGGTGTTTTGACCCGAATTTGGTGTTTAACTATTTGCCCATAGCTGGGACCCTAACAGGTGCTACCACCCCGGGTCAGGTAGACCTGGGAATATCAGCAATTAATAGGTGGTTCCATGCTCCTCAAAACCTCCTGATCAGAGGCCTTGGTGTTGGATGTAGTTTACCGTCATACCCAGGACGCGGATGTAGTTATCGTCTTACCCAGGACGCGGATGTAGCATATCGTCATACCCAGGACAGGTAAGTCAAGTGAGCTTATCTCTATCTCACAAGGGCGCGTCAAATGTATACCTTCTTATATTTGAATAATTTTCTAGATTATCTAAGCTTAGTTTGGCACAAGACTTACTTATTGAGGTACCCAATGAGGATCAAAATTTTCAATGTAGCAATAACGTGCTAGTCTTTATTACTAACCAGTGCTTGATGACAGCAATTCCTATTCAAGATCTTAACGCTGGCGCAACTAACAATGGTTACAAGAGCCGCTCAGCAGTAACAACAATAAAAGTTGCATCAAAATTAGAAGCAGACAATAAGCAAAACACTGTTAAGCAGTACAGAGGTATTGGGGTGGGGTGAAGGCGCCAGGGAGTAGAGAATGGATGTATATATCGAAGTGCTGTCAAAATTTCGCAAGAAAGAAAATACCTTTGGGGAAGTTGTCATCTGGAATAAATATTCTATGATTTTAAAATACATTTGAAGTGAACAGAGAGAGAGGGAGAGAGAGAGGGCGAGAGAGAGAGAGCGAGAGAGAGAGAAAGACAGAAACGGAAAGATGGCCGAGAAAAAGAAAAGAAAAAAGAGAGATAAGGAAAAATATGGGAAATGAAGGGTAGACAGAAGGAAAGAAAGGCTGCGTGTGTTCATTTTTGCGTCGGTTGAATACTGAGTTAAAGAACAATAAGAATAACGAATAATGAAGAAAAAGAATGAAGAATTTTGAAGAAGGAGAAAAAAAGAAAGAGACGAAAGAAAAAAAAGAACAAAGGGAAAGGACGGAGAACAAAGAAAGATGGCGGAGATAAAAAGAAAGAAAAGAATTGAAGGGAAGAAGTAAGAAAAAGAGCGTGGAAAAAAGAGAAAGAAAAGTAGAAGGAAAATAAAAGACAAAAGAAAGAAGTAGAAGAAAGAAATGAATTGAAAAAGAAGAAGAAAGTAAAGGAGTGAAGGAAAGAAGAAAGAAAATGAGTGAAGGAAGGAAAGAAAGGAATGAAGGAAAGAAGGAAATAATGAAAGAAAATATGGAAGTAAACAAGTAAAAGGCAAACGCAGAAAGAAGAAAAGAAGATAAGAATGAAATAAATTTAAAGAAAGAAACATGGATGAAATGGATAAAAAGAAGGGACAAAGAAAGAAAGAACGAAAGAAAGAAAGAAAGATGGGAAGATCTTACATATAAGGAAAAAGAAAAAATACGTCTAAGAGAGAAAGAAAGAAAAAACGATAGAATGAAAGGAAATCTTACGTATAACAAAGAAAGAAAGGAAGAAAAAAAGGAAGGAAGGAAGAAAGAAAGAAAGAAAGAAAGAAAGAAAGAAAGAAAGAAAGAAAGAAAGAGGAGGAAATAAATAAATAAATAAATACTTCACGTATAAAGTAAGAAAAAAGAAAGAAAGGAAATAAGAAAAAAAAGTAAGGTTTTACGTCTAAGAAATTTCTTACGGAGAAATAAATAAATAAATTTATTGCGCGTAAAGAAAGAAAGAAAGAAAGAAAGAAAGAAAGAAAGAAAGAAAGAAAGAAAGAAAGAAAGAAAAAACGAAAATGAAAGATCTTACATATAAGGAAAAAAAAAAAAAAAAGAAAGAAAGAAAGAAAAGAAATACGTCTAAGAGAGAAAGAAAAAGAAAAAACGATAGAATTTACGAAGAAAAATCTTACGTATAACAAAAGAAAGAAAGAAAAGAAAGAAAGAAAGAAAGAAAGAAAGAAAGAAAGAAAGAAAGAAAGAGAGAAAGAAAGAAAGAAAGATCGTACGTATAAAGAAAGAAAAATAAGAAAGATCTTGCACATAAAAAAAGAAAGAAAGAAATATCTTACGTATAAAGAAAGAAATATCTTGCGTAGAAAGAGAGAAAGAAATATACGTATAAAGAAAGAATATCTTATGTATAAAGAAAGACAAATAAATATCTTACGTATAAAGAAAGAAAGATCTTACGCATAAATGAATGTGTCGTCGAATCTTCGAGAAATAAAACAATCAACAAATAAAAAAAATTGTTTGATGTTGTTGATGTTGTTGTTATTGATATTGTAACCCTTTCTTCAATTTTTTTATGGGGATTTTATTTTTCAACCTTTTTTTCTGGTTTTCTTCTTCTCTTTTACTTTTGACGAATAATAAAAGATGACAAGAGATAAAAACCGAAATCACTGCCGAGCATTTTTTTTTCCTTTCTTACCGAAACAGCTGGCCTCGTTACCACCCGCCACCGCGCCTGTCGCCTCACCCACACAAGTGCAGAGTCAGCCATAACAATTTCTACGCACCATGCATGCATTTATTGATACGCACAAATTTTACAACGTTATCAATATAATGTGAACTCATATCACTCAAAATATTGCTTTAAAATCATTCTGCGTATTATACAATGAAATTTATGCTTAAGAATAAACATGAACCCATTTTGGTTTGTCTCCTAAAATGATCTGTAAACGACCACAGAATTAAATACATAATGCTCCATATATTTCGCAAAATAATCTTTTTTTCTGCTTTTTTTTTTTTTTTTAACAGCGAGGTTTAACTTTTAGAAGGCTCGGGAGCCACTCGAGGTAGGTTGTTACAGAACAAGAGGTACAGTTTATGCGGATATGTGAGGAATATAACGGTTAATCCTAGACTTGAACAGGTTAAGATTGAAGTGATAAATAAAACATCCTTTTGGGAGTCGGTTCCACAGGGCAGGGAAAAGATGCTCAAGTGGAACTTACTTCTCACTAGTGGGATTCGGAAGGAATGAGGTTGGCTTGCTACAATGTGACTGGCATTTTGGGACCTAACCGTGACGGTTAGATCTGGTGAAACCAAGGAATGCACTTTGTCCAAGCACTTTCCATAGAAGTAAGGATAGAGAAGTGAGAGGCTTGTCACATCCCGTCCGTGTGAGAAGGGCTGAACGGTGGATTTGAACTAGTCCCGTGCCTTGAAGATCTTTTAGGACTTAAACTCAACTCAAGTGGAACTCTTACATACGATCCGTCGCTAAAGATGCAAGAAAAGGTTTGGCTCCTTGTACCGCTCAAGTAAGTAACTGATTCCTTATGCTATTCTCTACAAAAGCCAGACCAGGCATAAAATGGGGTCAGTCAGTGATGTGCCATGCGTGGATAAAGGCTTAGGCGATCATGTATCTTTCGATACATGACTGACGAGGTCTAACCCTTCCCGCAGTAGGTTGCCATTTCTTTCTGCGGTAGACCAGTTGCCATCCAATATAGAACCCAGTCTGTCCTGCTATTTACCCATAGCCTGAGAAGGAGAGGATTCACACCTTTCTCAAGGGTATTAACACGTAAGTGAATGTAATGGTATTCGACTGGAATTCGAACTCGGCTCTCCGATTCCTCAATCCGAGCCACTATACATTATTCAACCGTGCCTCCTCTACTGAATATATTTTGGCAGGAGCTACCCACTCCTCACTTTCAAAGTCCAAATGCGTCTCCGCGTCCTTGTGGGTGACAAGCAATGATGGAATGTAACTAGTTTCGTTTTCGAGGCATTGAGGGTAACCAGCCAGTTATATCCCCACTGAGAGGGTTAGAGCTAAATCTGATCAGAGTTTTGGAGGTGCATCCATATTTAATCGTATCATCGGCATAGATATTCACAAATGAACCGAGTATCCTCTTAGGGAGATCATTTATGTAAAGTAAAAAGAGGGTTGGTCCGTGAAGTGACCCACGTGGAAATATCTTGGCTGAGCTCCTTTCTTCATCACAGTTAATATCAAAGGTAAATTCCCGTAGTTCATTATCGTATTAAATACGCTCAATATATTTAAAACAATCATCAGTCAAGACTTTGAAAACATTTTATATATATATATATATATATATATATATATGTGTGTGTGTGTGTGTGTGTGTGTGTGTGTGTGTGTGTGTGTGTGTTGAACAATAAAAAATATCAAAAAATTAAAATCTTCAGATACACCGGGTTGTATATTAATATTCTTTGGTTTTTATTATTTCAATTAAATTCCTCGACTAGTTTCGGCCAGTATGGCCATCATCAGGGAAAAAAATTCTGCTTGTTAGTAGCAGTAAACTTGAATGATTTGATGGAGAAAATTAACTTTATCTGCAGTTTCATTTGCTTGTTGTTTTTTTTTATTTCTTTAACATGAATTTTGGTCAGACCTTGTGTTGGTCAAACAGAGTCCGTTGTTATTTAAGATAAAGGCTGGATGAATTCATGCTGCTCTGAATTCCGTTGGTCATTTTGACAGTTTTATGGATTCCTGGAAAGGGGATCTGTCTCTGTTAAATGTGTGTTATTTTGTTTTTTAGGGAGTGAATGCGTATGATGTGTAAGTGTGTATATTAGTATAGGTGTGTGTTATCATTTATCTCATTAGGGAGTTAGTGAGTATGATATGTGTAAGTGTGTATATTAGTATGGGTGTGGGTATAAGCGTGAGGCCTTAAGTTAAAGGGAAATAACTGAGACATCCGGAGGAGACATGACACGTGTAACGTGGAACACTCTATCCCGGTGAACGAAATTCGAATCACCCGAAGAAGACCGGAGCGTACAACGGCCGAAACGTTGTGAATATGACAATGAAGATGAAGATAATGGTCTGAATAATGTAAATAATAAGTAAAGTGGGCTTTGAAAGTTTGAATGTTGCTGGAGGTCGCATTTTTCATTAATAAAATTTTTCGGATGTTAAGGACAGTAGAGAAAATAAAATACTGTTTAAAATAAACGGGTCGTCTACTCAAATATGGGTATCCACTAAAAATAGCGCTTAAAGTAATAAAAATATGTAGGATTAATAAATAAAACTCCATTGCTTCTCTAGAAAAGGTATGTCTATTTATCTTTGCGTTCTGTCTCATCACCAGGTATCTTAATAAACTGTTATACCGTCATAATTTACCTAGAGGGAGTACACGCTTGGGCAACAACCATTCCCTTATAATAATCTTACCTGCCCAGAAAGTGACAATAAAAGATGTCCTCTTATTGTCAATGAAGACAGCATTCAATTGCATACTGAGTTAATGTGCAGGGACATTGTTTTCGTTGCAACTAATTCTGTCAAATATCCCCACCACCAAATCGAAATAATCCGGAGGAAAATAAATTTCTTCTTACCCAGAATTTTTTTTTTTTTTTCATCTCACCTGAACTTTGCCCTTCAACTTGAATCCAGGCGAAAAAATGTTCCCTTAATTTATGAATACGACTGACCCTAAATAAAGATATACCTTGTCGCTATGTGTAAACATCAAATTTATTTATTTATCTGAATCAAATTTATTTGAATTTTTATTTTATTTATTTAATCTTTTTGCTTTTGCTTCTTCCAAAAAAACAGAATTCTATCGTTTTTTACTATTTTTTTTAATAGTTTTCTTTGTTTTTTCTTATTGTCTGCTTCGTTTTTCAAATTTGACTTCAGATAGGAAAATTAATATGCTGAGTAATGTCGACACAAATAAATACACAAAAGTAGCATTTTAGAGGGATTTACTGAAAAGATTAGGGAGAAATAAAGTATAAATCTTATATATAAAGTACAGTGTATGTGTATTTGTTTATGCGTGTGTGTGTCCAAGCAACTCCTCCGCTCCTATTGGTCCGATTTCAATGATTCATAGCTCATTAAAAAGCCCAAGAAATGTTAGACGCAGCGAACGATTTTCGTTGAACTGAGATTCAGGCTTGCCAGATTATGCGAGGTTAAAAATATATATTAATATGTCATACTAGCCATTTCGTTGATTTCATGGTTCAAGGGGAGTAACTCTCATTTTCCTTTTGTATCCAAAATTGCAGTATACGTTTTATGATAAATTAGCTTGAAAACCGCCCTATCGGGTGGCATTTAAGCTAACTCCTGTGGCGGACTCTTTGTTTGGCCATCATCACAACAGCTAGGGAGGAGTAGATGTGATGGGCAACAATAAACTACAGAAGAACTCAAAATTGATCCCTGCATTTAAGTATTGAATTAATGTTTAAGCTTACCTTTTAAAAGTTCAACGATAATTCTTCTGTTGCCATTAAATTTAAAGACCATTAGATCCTTATTTTCCGTAAAAACAATTATTTTTATTTCATGGGTGACAGAACAGGGGAGAATTTATAAGATAAAACTAATATAGTGTAAAGATCGGAAAATAAAAATTAGATTATACATTCAACATTTGAAGAGTTAGAGAAACATAATAGCTAATTAAGTAAAACTTATATTGTGGAACCTATATGAATAAATGCGAAATTGGAGCACAATTATCCAACAAAATCTAGGGTTGAAAAGCCCCAAATCTACTTTATAGTAATTTATACCCTAAAATCTCAATATCTGTAGTATACATTATCTACTTCTAGGTAATATCACTTTTCAGTTTAAACTAATTTGCATATTGATTTTTAAAAATAGATAGTTCATTAATTAACATTCCTTCATTAGTGTTCTTTTATTCGAGGATTTTTTTTGATTTTCATATCAAAAATAATTCTTTTTAAAAATATCGTCCTATATAGTGCAGGAAAGTGTTTGAAATTTGCATTTTACTTGGGCTTCAACAAGTTGGCACCTATTTGTAAAACTTTCTTTAACTATAACAAGCCAATTTATGAATGAAATGTTCATTTAAAATTTTTGTTTCAAATATTTCAAGTAGTGAATATATCTTACTTTGCGAAGTGGGCGAAGCCTGTTTGTTGTAAATAAAAAGAAAATATAAAAATTTGACAACGTTTATCTTTATTTTATGCCTCCCGTACGTTACACTTAAAACATAAATAAAAAAATAAATGTTTTGCCTTCTTCTTTACTCATTCCTTCCTCCTGGACATGACGATGAACTACATCCGGCAGCAAGGAATCTGATCTCGATCATGTTTTAAGGAGCATGGAACCACCTCTTAATTGCTGTTCTTTCCAAGTCAACTCTGAGCCGGGGTGGTAGCACCCGTTAGAATCCAAACTATGGGCAAAAAGTTAACACCCAAACAGGGATCAAAACACGAGGAAAGTATAAAAATAAATCTTTATAATAAAAATACCAGCAATAAATTTTTGAGAAAAAATTACCAACAACACTCTTGATAAAACCTTCTTTACAAAATACGTCATTGAAACCTGATCTACAAACTGATTTCTTACAAAAAAAGAATGCATATTCTATTCATACGAATCTATCCTAAAAATGTTGTCGGCCTTAAATATCCCATTGAGGTTGATATGCCATAAAACAAAATAAACCAAACCGATCTAAACCAAAGAAT